ATGAATAGCCAACCGGTTACGGATGACATCCCTGACGGCCCCTCGGCGTTCATCATTCAGATAGTACTCGCACGAAGAAACATGCGCCGCGTCGCAAGGACCGCAGGGAGTTCCCCACCCACGAAAGGTGCAGTTCTTGACAGCGGAATCCTTGCGCGCGGAGCACTGAAGGCAAGGTTCGGGCATCTAATAAAACAGGTATCAGTACCTATGAAAACTCAGACAAAAATGAGAGGAGGAGACATACATGGATTTGTGTACCCTTAAGAACCGCGGGGAGCTCTTTAAGCCCAAATCTAGCGGTGGCACGTTCTAAAAAGAAAGTCAGCAGGGTAACCAAAATACTAGTAAGAAGAACGACTTACTAAATCGCTTCTTGTCGAACACGATGGGCTCTTGGAAAATAACGGGAGCTGGAAAAAACCCGAATTATAAAGTTAAAAAGCAAATTGAGAAAGAGAAAAAGCTTACACTTCTTACGAGGGCGACCGCGACGCTTGGGTTGAACAGAAGTTTCCTTCTGCTTGACCACCGGTGGCTTAAAGGCAGTACGCTTGGCGGAACTACGAGTAGTAGGAGGAGTCCTCGCCCGAGCCTTTCCCTTGTCAACTCGAGAGGAACCTGCAACAGGCGGAGGCGTCTTGGCGCGAGCCTTGCCCTTGTCTGCACGCAAAGGCCTAGCGAGAGGTACAGAGTCCGACGAGCTCGAACGTGAACGGTTGGGATGTTGGATGGCCTCGTCATCAGACGAGGGTTTCTCAATAATCTTGCGTCGTTTACCTGGCTAAGAAACCAAAAAAAAAAAAAAAAAGTTAGTAAAAATGTCTAAGCAGAGGAAAATGAAGAAACTTACAGGGCCAATAGCCAGCTTCAAGGGCGTTGAAGACGGAGGATCGATGATCTCAACCACATCCGAATCTTCGTCCATGACCATGGCACGAGTACGCTTCGACCTTCGAACAGGGACAGGCGGCGTCGAGTCAGGCGAGGAAACTGGCAGGGACTCTGGGCCAGGGCTCGGTAGAAACAACGGATCAGATCCCGTAGGAGAAGGGGACTGAACGACACGAGCTCGACCTCGGGGAGTAATGATCCCCGGAGGTGACGAAGACCCGCGGTCGCTCGGCGCGTCCTCCTCTCCTATGTACCCCGTAGTAAAGCTGGAGTCTAGGCATTCGCCCTAGAAAGATAAAAATCATTAGAAGGAAAATAAAAAGAAAGAACGGAAGAAAGTTACTTACAGGGCTATAAAGCGCATGACCATCCAATGGTTCTTGCAGCCATTCCTCCCAGGCAGTACTTCGGTTGCGTTCTTCAACGCGTTGGGCGGCATTGTAAACGGACGCCAGTAAACGAGACTCGTGTGGCGTAGGACCACCAGGACGAGCGAGGATGTCTGAAAACAATGCTAACTAAGGCAATAAAAAGTCGAAAATCAGCAGAGAATAAAAGAAAAGAACAGAGACTCACCATATAACTATGCAGGCGGTATAGCGTAGCCATGATCTCGGCCTCAGACATAGCGTTGAGGTGGGAACGCGAGAAGAGGTCAATGCCGACTTCGAACGCTTGAACGGCGGCGCGACAACCAAGGAATGCGGTAGGCATGGTGGGGAAAGTTAGAAAGAAATTGTGACAATCGCTCCCATAAAGCACGAAGTTTATAGGAACGTCAGGCGGAACATACGGAATAGCGAGGCACTTTCCGAAGAATAGTCTATGGGAGAAGATCGCTGAGAATCCCTCGGTTCCGTCGACCCTGAAAATCTTAATGGACATCAAAAAACGTTAATCAACTAAGGCGTACCTAGGCAACAATAGGAATATGATGTCATGTCTTCGAAGAATAACGCGCCTGCACTGGTAATAGTAATTGACGCCGAAAGATAAAAGACACGCTTGACAGACGGTGATCTTTTGAAGACATATCAATATAAAATCCAGAAAAACACGAGGGGAACGTCCTCATACGGGGATCTAGTGATGACCGAGGACGGTCAGTATTATAGTGAGGGGGAGATGATACGGAGTGTAACAATACACCCGTAAAAATGCGAATTTTAGCGATTTCTCCTATAAAACCTCCTATAGTAGAAATACAGTCACATTGATCATAAGGATCGTTAGACGCAACCCGGTCTAGTCGATTAAAGTTTACATCCGAGAAATGTGCACGCCTTAGACAGTAGGAATTGCGGTCGGTTCGTGACCGAATCACCTCAATATACTCG